ACACACACACACACACACACACATATATATATATATATATAATATACACACACATATATATACACACACACACACACACATATATATATATTAGTATAATATATATATATATATATATATATGTATAATATATATATATATATATATATATATATATGTACTTCAATTATCGATATAGGTTACATCTGGGATGTGGATGTATAACCATTCATATTAACTCATCGTGTAGTATTATATACTTCATTTATTTGGTCGGCACTGTTTGTACATATGTAGGGAATATTTCCAATTGAGGTGTGACTGTACATATGAAAACTCATGAAGTTGTGTATTAATAGGAATCTCTGTATATTGTAAAATTAATTGGCTCTGACGTTTACCTATTCACCACGTAATTTATGTTGTTCTCCGCTCTTTAACTTTTTTTTTGATTATTATGTTTGTATTTTTTCTGTCATAATCTGACAAAGGAGCTCGATATGCATTCATCTAGATTGGTCTACTCTTTTGCAATGTCCGATAGTTTGATACTATTATTGTACCGATTGGATTGAATGTGCACAGAACCATGTGAGACAACTGTTCGTTATAGTATCATTTTAATTTTGTAGCGCCATGGTTAATAAATCGTGGAGCAGGCAGATGCGACGGTAGTCGTTTCCAGATATCATCCATCGTACACATGTTTTCCTCCTTTTCTTTTTGCAAACTAACTTTACCGAAGATTTTTCATTAGAAGTTAAGATACTATACCACTGCAGTCTTACCTATCTACGCACGCCATATTGATATATATACACATTCTATTTGTTTGTATCCAGCCGAATAATATATGCGACTCATAGATTCGGTAGATTGGCTATGTACCACTTAATCGCATATGATAACCGTACTCACCATGTGTTTTGACTCACTCGGCTATATTATGCCTTAACATGCTTAGCGTGGTGCTATATCGGTGCGAGATTGACTGTCTAGAAGGTTGGACTTAACATGCTTAGCGTGGTGCTATATCGGTGCGAGATTGACTGTCTAGAAGGTTGGACTTGGCACTCGCCAGTATATTGGTGATAACAATACGAATATAATTTCTGATTACGTTAGACAATGTGCATCTTATTATATGTATACATTATCAATATTGACTCAGGCTATATATTCTCTAATTTCCAAACCTATTACACGTGTACGTATAGGATACAGAATTCCCTGGCACTGTGGCGAGACCGGTGGGTCAATTCTCCAGGGCTACGACAGAGTACAACTATCAATTACTCAGGGTGAATGTAGATTTATTAACGGTATGTGGAATGTATTTCAAGTCTGTTTGCGGTGTTTAGCTATGCAAGACCTCCATATAATGCAATCTGGATACGGGTTGCTCTTCACCACATCGCTCGTATATTGATACTAGTACTTCTGCTGCATTCGATTGCGTCTTCATAGTGATCTAGTGCGGTGGTGCTCACTTCCGATCTATGAGGCAAAAGGAGTCCCCAATATATTTATCCGAATACATATATACAAAGCGCTGCAGGCCAGAAATGTGCCATGTTACCTGGCACTCAAGTCCGTCACCTGATTCGATTGGGGATCACGCAAGAGCTGTCTACTTCATATGTTTAAGGGCAATCTACTTTGTTTTTCACGTGTTGCCACAGGTGTGCGTGACAGATAGTCATCACCCGCACAATTAAATATGCTCACATGCTCTTACTCCTCGAATACAGATTATACAACTGGGAATCACACTGCACAACGAAAAGGGAGAAGTACCCGAGGATGTGTGCACGTGGCAGTTTAACTTCGAATTTAGCCTCAACACACACATGTACGCCGAGGACTCAATTAACCTGCTGAAGCGATCGGGCATCAATTTCGAAAAGTGTGAAACGGAAGGTAACGTAATGAACATGATACTAGGACATGCTCGGAGTTGGCTTACGTAAATACTGAACTGTGCCTTATGCGTTTGAAATGGGGCTTTTTAATCAAAGTGGGTAGCCATTTTACGTGGATGGCCATTACCCTCATCATGTATAGGTGTATGGAATGGCGATCTGTGTATACCTACAGGTTTGATGGATGGGCAATTGTACTAACACAACCACACTCTTGCTGCACAGGAATCGATGTCTTTGATTTTGGGGAACTGCTGATTGTATCAGGTTTAGTGTTGAACAACGACGTCCGGTGGTTGTCGTTCCATGGGTATGTTTCGTACTACTCTCTTGTTTCTTTGTGTACAGGGTTTCTGTTCAGTCTGCCAGTTATTCTGTGGTCACGAGATAGGCTGAAACCGATAAACACTCTCAAGACAAAATACCCTTAAAACTTACTTTAGCTCACTGATTACGAGTGTTATGTTTATATGGGGTTGTCGTTTAGCTTTCGCGCGTGTGATTGTATTGTAAATGGGTCCCATTGTCTGTAGTGTCGTGGAGGTTGCTTTATGTCCTCGTGGTGCTGCGTGCATATGAGAGTCAGATGGATCCGTGGGTCACATTGGGGAGACTACCAGGGTTCTAGCTCACCATAATCACGTTCATGCGTCGAAAACACTTATTTTTCTGGGTAGAAATGGAGCTTAATGCAAATGAATAGCTTATTTTAGAGTTCCCTAAATTAAACGGAGGCAGATGGTTTGCTAACTAAACCGATTCTTTATATGCAACATTCACACATACACTCACACAAGTCACGCACCTTTGTACCCACACATCTATACATCCGTACTTACAAACTTCATCCTCTCACAGCATAACGCTGGTACAAACACTCACAATGTGCAACACCATGTCCACATTCCCCGATAGGTACATGGACTACGGCTATCTGCTCAAGATCTTAACCTGCAGGCCGCTTCCAGAGAAAGAGACCGATTTCCTGCAAGAGCTGATGGTCTACTTCCCGAACACCTACGACGTTAAGTATCTTATGAAGAGCTGTAAGACTCTCAAAGGCGGTCTACAAGAAGTAGCAGACGACTTGCGCGTGGAACGTATAGGCCCCCAACACCAAGCGGGCAGTGACAGTTTACTCACGGGCATTGCCTTTTTTAAGATGAGAAAGGTTTGTGTGGTTGAGTTTGTGTGTGCTGTTGCCTGCACTCGTGCAATTAGTTTGCGTTTCCGTATGGACGGAGTGTATTTTTCGGCGTGATCACATTCAGTACGCTCTT